ATGTATCATATATTCTTCATTGTGTGTAAATTTCTCTCTCTCTCTCTCTCTCTCTCTCTCTCTCTCTCTCTCTCTCTCTCTCTCTCTCTCTATATATATATATATATATATATATATATATATATATGCATATCACGTACCTATGTATGTACTATAGTTATGTGCCGATACATTTTGTACCAAAACTTATGTATTGATATATTCGTACCGAAACTTATATACATGTGCAATCGTACCGAAACTTATGTACCAATACATTCGTACCGAAATATATGTACTAATACATTCATACAGAAACTTATGTACCGATGCGTTCATATCGAGATTTATGTACGGAAGCAATCGTAGCGCTACATTCATACCGAAACTTATGTACCGATATATTCATGCCGAAACTTATGTACCAATGTAATCGTACCGAAACTTATTTATTGATACATCGTACCGAAACTTATGTACTGATACATCGTACTGAAACTTTGTACTGATACATCATACCAAAACTTATGTACCTATGCAATCGTACTGAAACTTACGTGCTGATACTTCCGAACCGAACCTACGAGGTTTTTTTTTTCCAAATACAAATTGTTTTTGTATTGTTGTTGACTTTTTTTTAATTATAAGAAATGTGCAATAAATACTTAAATGTGGTAAGTTTTGATAATAAGGACTTAAAATTAGATTTGTAAAACCATCCAAGTTAAAATCTTAAAAGAATCTTACTTAAGCCCTAAAATCTAAAATCCCTTTTTTACTTATCTTGTGCTATATGTATTGATGCTGTATTTTAGTGATATTGCACCATTGGCAGTAAAGCCATGCAAACCATCATCCCACACTCGAGTCATGATTTTTTGGTTTGTCATGGCTTTTATCATTGGCTTCCTTCTGTGGGCTATGGGACATTCTCTGTATCGTGGATGGAAAATGAGAAAGCAACAAGAACTTGAAATGACACTGTCCGATTCTACGCGTGTTACATCTGACAATTCTCAAGTGATTCCACCTCCAATATTTGTATCACTCATGTGATTCCACCTCCAATATATGTATCGCCAAGTGCTCCACCACTTGAAGCATTAGCCTGCCATAGATGTGGTTATCTGGAGTGCAACATCCTCCCTTCACAGCTTGTGTGTCCATGTTGTGGGAATATGTGGCCACTTAATTAATGTCTACACGTTAATGAATGTCTACACATTTTAAAAAGTTAGTCTTATCACTGTCTTACCAACGTAATAAATAATTGTAGTACAAACTAAAATCATCTTATGTTCTATTGGAAGTTTAACTTTATTACAGTGTGAGAAGTCAACACTTACATGCTAGGTAAAATATTGATGATTTCAACCCATTCTCCTTGAATTTTGACATATTAGACTTCACATGTCAAAATGGAACTTCATGCACAATACGATAACAATCTAGACAAAACTAAACGTAATTCATGTTTAAACAATTTATTAATTAGGTTGAAATAATGATTTAGCTTTTGTATGTAGGTTATATATTGATCCTTATAAACAATAAAAATATTATTTGACAATGATTATTAAGTTTCCACAATTAAAAAAACCATATATATATGTATCATATATTCTTCATTGTCCGTAAATTTCTCTCTATTTCTCTCTCTCTCTCTCTCTCTCTCTCTCTCTACATATATATATATGCATATTACGTACCTATGTACGTACTATAGTTATGTGCCGATACATTTTGTACGAAAACTTATGTACCGATACATTTGTACCGAAACTTATATACCTATGCAATCGTACCGAAACTTATGTACCAATACATTTGTACCTAAACATATGAACTAATACATTCATACAAAAACTTATGTACTGATGCGTTCATACCGAGACTTATGTACTGACGTAATCGTAGCACTACATTCGTACTGAAACTTATGTATTGATATATTCGTGCTGAAACGTATGTACCAATGCAATCGTACCGAAACTTATTTACTGATAAATCGTACCGAAACTTATGTATTGATACATCATACCGAAACTTTGTACCGATACATCATACCAAAACTTACGTACCTATGCAATCGTACTAAAACTTACGTGCTGATACTTCCGAACCTATGAGGTTTTTTTTAAATACAAATTGATTTTTTTATTGTTGTTGACTTTTTTTAATTATAAGAAATGTGCTATAAATACTTAAATATGGTAAGTTTTAATAATAAGGACTTAAAATTAGATTTATAAAACCATCCAAGTTAAAATCTTAAAAGAATCTTACTTAAGCCCTAAAATCTAAAATCCCCTTTTTACTTATCTTGTGTTATTTGTATAGATGTCATATTTCAGTGATATTGCACCATTGGCAGGAAAGCCATGCTAACCATCATCCCACATTCGAGTCATGATTTTTTTGTTTGTCATGGCTTTTATCATTGGCTTCCTTCTGTGGGCTATGGGACATTCTCTATATCATGGATGGAAAATGAGAAAGCAACAAGAACTTGAAACGACACTGTCCGATTCTACGCGTGTTACATCTGACAATTCTCAAGTGATTCCACCTCCAATATTTGTATCGCCCAGTGACAATTCACTTATGATTCCACCTTCAATATCTGTATCGCCAAGTGCTCCACCACTTGAAGCATTAGCCTGCCATAGATGTGGTTATCCGGAGTGCAACATCCTCCCTTCATAGCTTGTGTGTCCATGTTGTGGGAATATGTGGCCACTTAATTAATGTCTACACGTTTTAAGTAGTAAGTCTTATCACTGTCTTACCAACGTAATAAATAATTGTAGTACAAACTAAAATCATCTTATGTTCTATTGGAAGCTTAACTTTATTACAGTGTGAGAAGTCAACACTTACATGCTAGGTAAAATATTGATGATTTCAACCCATTCTCCTTGAATTTTAACATATTAGACTTCACAAGTCAAAATGGAACTTCATGCACAATACGATAACAATCTAGACAAAACTAAACGTAATTCATGTTTAAACAATATATTAATTAGGTTGAAATAATGATTTAGCTTTTGTATGTAGGTTATATATTGATGCTTATAAACAATAAAAATATTATTTGACAATGATTATTAAGTTTCCACAATTAAAAAAACCATATATATATATCATATATTCTTTATTGTGCATAAATTTCTCTCTCTCTCTCTCTCTCTCTCTCTCTCTCTCTCTCTCTATATATATATATATATATATATATGCATATTACGTACCTATGTATGTACTATAGTTATGTGCCGATACATTTTGTACCAAAACTTATGTACCAATACATTCGTACCGAAACATATGTACTAATACATTCATACAGACACTTATGTACCGATGCGTTCATACCGAGACTTATGTACTGACGCAATCGTAGCGCTACATTCGTACCGAAACTTATGTACCAATATATTCATGCCGAAACTTATGTACCAATGCAATCATACTGAAACTTATTTACTGATACATCATACCGAAACTTATATACTGATACATCATACCGAAACTTTGTACCGATACATCATACCAAAACTTATGTACCTATGCAATCATACTAAAACTTATGTGCTGATACTTCCGAACCTATGAGGTTTTTTTTTAAATACAAATTATTTTTGTATTGTTGTTGACTTTTTTTAATTATAAGAAATGTGCTATAAATACTTAAATATGGTAAGTTTTGATAATAAGGACTTAAAATTAGATTTATAAAACCATCCAAGTTAAAATCTTAAAAGAATCTTACTTAAGCTCTAAAATCTAAAATCCCCTTTTTACTTATCTTGTGTTATATGTATAGATGTCGTATTTCAGTGATATTGCACCATTGGCAGGAAAGCCATGCAAACCATCATCCCACATTCGAGTCATGATTTTTTGGTTTGTCATGGCTTTTATCATTGGCTTCCTTCTGTGGGCTATGAGACATTCTCTATATCTTGGATGGAAAATGAGAAAGCAACAAGAACTTGAAACGACATTGTCCGATTCTACACGTGTTACATCTGACAATTCTCAAGTAATTCCACCTCCAATATTTGTATCGCCCAGTGACAATTCTCATGTGATTCCACCTCCAATATCTGTATCGCCAAGTGCTCCACCACTTCAATCATTAGCCTGCCATAGATGTTGTTATCTAGAGTGCAACATCCTCCCTTCACGTCTTGTGTGCCCATGTTGTGGGAATATGTGGCCACTTAATGAATGTCTACACGTTAATTAATGTCTACACGTTTTTAGAAGTTAGTTTTATCACTGTCTTACCAACGTAATAAATAATTGTAGGACAAACTGAAATCATCTTATGTTCTATTGGAAGTTTAACTTTATTATAGCATGAGAAGCTAACACTTACATGCTATGTAAAATATTAATGATTTCAACCCATTTTCCTTGAATTTTGACACATGTTAGACTCCATCACAAGCCAAAGTGAAACTTCGTGCAAAATACAATCACAGTCTAGGCAAAACTAAACGTAATTCATGTTTAAACAATATATAGTTCATAGTTCCTTTCAATTTCCTTTGGTCACAACGAGAAGGATTATAGAGTTAAAGTTATATTTGAATAACCTACAACAACTTGAGAAAATGACTAAGATTCCCTTACTATTTCTTGCCAAGTCTAAATAAAAAATAGTTATTGAGGGAGAATCTTGTTTCGAATGATATGATCTATGGTTTCTCGGAGTCCAAATTTACTTACCGCCATGTTAGCCTCTCTAAATCCCTGCCCATAATTTTTGTCCATATTGACTTATGTTTTGTATGCTGCATACTTTTGCAAGTTTTTTGAAAATAAAAGCCTGTTCATACCTGGTGTTGTATGACTCTAATGTTGGCTGAAAGGAAATGAGGACAGCTCAGCTGCCAAGTCAACATAGGACAACTCAGCTGCCAAGTCAGCACAAATTAGTTAAAGGAAGTTAGAGAGATAACATGAAGTTAGTTAGGGTGGTTAGAAGTGTAATGAGTAAGATACAACAACCTATAAATACAAGGCTAGAACAATGTAATTGATTCATTCTGTCTGTAATACAATCTACTTCCTTTCTCATTGCTTCTTCTCTCTCTCATTCGATACATTCATCTTTTACATTTCTGCATTTCTTGCAAACCTTCATTTTCTCTAGTTTCTTGGTTCTGTTAATGTGGTATCATTGCCGAGGAACGACTGGGTGAATCTTCCGCTGTACTATTCTGCAAGTGATGGGTTTTCTATGGTGATTTCTGAGTTGCTATCGTAGACGAATATCAGGTTCTCTGTGTTCATATATGTTCTTGTTTTCGTATATAAGGTGTTTATGATATTGTCTGAGTGAAGTTTGATATGATTTTCATGAGTAATTGATTGAAGGCCGATGCCATTTCTTGTCATGATATGATATGTTCGATGAATGTGATGAAGAATGTTTGATAAGGCTGATGTCAATTGTTTAATTTCAGTGAAATTAATTGAAAAATATGAGTTTCTTGCTAGTAAAGAATTGTTGAAAAATAGTTGATTGAAAGATTGAGTGTTTTGTTATCAAAGGCTGAAGTTAATAGTCAAGAAAGTGTGGTGTATATCAATACCTAATTGGTTGGGGGATAGCTTTCAGAATTTGGTTATCTTAATGCTTTCCTCTAACCACTTCAATGGAAGCTTGCCCCCGCAACTATGCCATCTAGTATACATTCAAATTTTGGATGTGTCTGTGACCATCTCTGGAGGTATACCGAATTGCCTAAAAGTTTACTACTCTGGCTTAGAAAGGAAATTCAAGTCTTACCGTCGAACATTCTTATATGAGAAATACTGATGGACATTCGTCCATGGGGACTAGTTATGAGGATGACGCAACTTTCATATGGAAAGGGAGCATGCGGGTGTACAAAAACACTTGGGGGCTTGTGAGAAGAATTGATTTCTCAAGCAATAAGTTAAATGGGGAGATTCCAACTGAAATCAGCTACCTAGTTGGCTTGGTTTCTTTAAACCTATCGAGAAACCAATTAACGGGTCAAATTACTCCAAACATTGGAAAATTGGAGTCGTTGGATTCACTTGATTTGTCAAGAAATCAGATAGATGGAAGAATTCCAGCAAGCCTTGCTCGGATAGATCGTCTTGGTTTCTTGGACTTGTCATACAACAACTTGACTGGAAAGATTCCAACTGGCACCCAGCTCCAAAGTTTTGATCCCACTGTTTATGCTGGAAATCCACAGCTCTGTGGACCTCCACTTCAAAATCCGTGTGAAAAGCAAAGAGTCCAGATCAAGTTAGTAATGAAGATGATAAGGATGATCAGCTTAAAAGCTACGGATTTTACATCAGCATGGGGCTCGGGTTTGTTATTGGGTTTTGGGGAGTTTGTGGAAGTCTGATATTCATCAGGGAATGGAGGTACACATACTTCAAGTTCTTGAATTTGCTGAATGATTGGTTTTATGTGAGGGTAGTGTTGATCAAGCGGAAATTAACGGATGCTTAACAGATAAGCTCTAGTGTGTGGTACGTAATCTCCCTCTCATCAAACCATCACGATAATTTGGTTTTTATGATTAATTGTCTTCGTCGAACTTACTGGTGCTTGTTTATTTTTATACGTAGCTTCACGCTTCTTCTTCACTCCACTTCGATTGTGTGGTTGCCATGACCAAATTATCTGCAGAAGCTTTCAAGTATTGGATTCTGCTTAATACCGAAATAACGAGATCGCAGAAATGTACTAGGGATATGTTTTCCTTGGTAAATGATTTGATACCGTGCCCTGAACTTAATTCATAGGGACTTCTCCAAGCAACTGTTTTTTATGAATATTGTTCTAGTTTAATTGTTTTACATTAAGAGATTTCTGTAGTAAATCGTTTTAGATGAATTTGTTTTTTTACTTTATGTTTTCTCTCTAGTAAGTGGGGTTGATGTTGGGTTCCCCTGCCGTATCACTTGCTCTGTTGTTTTCTTGGCAAGCTTTGGTTTTATTTTCCCCTCATTTGTATTTCTCTCTTTACTTTAATAAGCTTGAGGGGATGAAAGGTGAGTGCTATTGCCTCATCCTTTTAAAATTTCTCAAAATTAAAAAATTCTGCAGTAAAATAGTAATTCATATTTTGATTTTCAGCGCATTCTAAACTAGTTAATAATTCAGATATTAAGTTAACTAGTAATTCAAGCCAATACCTTGCCGTTTGCAGCGCAGAATTTTTTTAATTTCGTTAGAGGATGGTGCCTAACTGAAAATTAATTTCAAGCAGCAGCAGCAGATCATCCATGTCCTCTTTCCTGTTTTGTTTTTGTATATACTAATATGTTTCTCTGATTTGATCAACCACTGCTAACTTTTCATTGTAACTCGTAAGCATACTTTTCTTTGTAGTCTATTAGAGATGAAATCGCAGACCAACTGGAGGAGTAGAACCCAGATTTGACTAAAATAATTAAGTAGCAAAAGAAGTCCGCGATCAAATAAAACGGATATGATAGCCTCACTAATGGTGCAAGCGAGTTATATCCCACATAGCAGCAGATAGATACTGGGGTCCTGTTCTCTGTTTCTCTGGTCACCTATTGCTCGCTTCTCCATGTAACTGGTAAGCCTATCTACTTCTCTTTGTACCGTATTTGAGAAGAAATGTCACCCAGATTCGGCTGAGATGATTATATACCGAAAGAAATTCACCACTGTACAAAATCGATATGATTGTGACGCTAACTATACAAATACAAGTCCATCATACACCAGTACTCACTGAAAACCGGATTGATATACATTGTAGCAGAGATTTTTGCTCCTCATTCTCTTTTAATTTGCAACGGCATTTTCTTGTCGATATAAATTTGATGCAAGCTTGTATTTTGAGATGTAAACTACTTCCATGTGCATGTTTTGGTTGCGCTCCAGCTTTGGCGTTGAGTACTATATGAAACTACACAAATTTCGAATGACCAAAATCTAGAAATGTTCTCTTGGTCACTTGGTGACCAAGAAATATATTGCCACTCACCCATGAATTGATATTCAGTGGCACTCATCAATTCAGCTTCTGTTGTTGACAAAGCAATACTGTGTTGTTTAATAGAGGCGTAAGAGAAATGACACACCCTAACCCTGATATCCTCAAATATCAAGGTAGGCACGTGCTGGCCGACACTAGAGGGTGACGAAGCCATTTTAAACATGCCTTCGAATAAAATATGTAATTAGAATGAAAATGCTAATGCAGGAACGTGTTCAGAGCATACAACTAATTAAGAATAATATGAAAGAATTATAATAAAAAGGTATGAACAAAGGGAAGAGTCATACACTGAGAAGACTCGTATGTACCTATGTCGATGTGCCCTGACGTCGGGATTGTGTGCCTTGATTCTAACTCCTAAGGGGGCGCAAATAGAAAAGGTGAGTGGACCAAAGTTTATAATAATAATAATAATAATAATAATAATAATAATAATAATAACACTAATAATAAGAAAACCATTTTGTTTATGAACATACTAACCCCTTGTTTTGAAAACATATATAATACTACATAATAGGTTTTTTAGAAAACCCTAGCATAAGCCATGAAATCATTCGTAAAATATGTATGCGTAAAACAATGCTCGAAGTTGGTAGTAAAATCGCCCGAAGGCAAATCTATAAATCTCATCCATGCTATACTCTCTAAAGGTATCATAGTCGCCTGAAGGCAGTACATGTCCATCACCCGAAGGTATAATAGCATACATACACACTGACACTAGCCATGGCTAGTGAAGCTGTCCAACATCGCTTTCGGCAGTGAAGCTGAGGGTGTATATATATATATATATATATATATATATATATATCTCACTACTCCTCCACCGTGTCCTATGGCCATAGACGTCATACCCATGGTGTGTGTATGCCGTATGATAACCCACTAGATAAGCACAAAAAACATACCTCAAAACTCGTATTCAAACAGCGGAGCTCAAAAGCTCAAACCCTCATTTCATAAATCCATGATAATTCACATATTCATAAATCTGTAAAATAAAGCATATTCGAAAGCCATAAAATTGTATATACGAGAATCCAATAATTCATAACTTTTAATAAACATAAATTTGATAAATCATAAATATTTCGTAAACCATAATTATAGAAATCTGTAAAACATAATATAAAACATCTTCAATTCATGAAGTGTAAAATGCATGCTAGGCTAATATTTTATAAAATAATGCAAGTTTAGAAGAGGTTCACTCACAGGTATTCCATTGCCCAAGAGCCGCTTGAAGTAGCGAGAATGGTGTCACTTCTCATTAACGCACCTAAACACAATTTGAGACCATTTAGTAAAACTCTACTAAAATGATTGAATTTTAGAAAACAGACAGTGGATTCGAATTTGGCACGTCGAGAAACCTAAGAATGGACCTCGAGTTCCCCCATGCGCAGCCACAAGGTAGCGGCTCGGACGACCACACGTCGAAATGGGTTGCCAGAAAGTTCGCCAGAAAACTCGTCGGCACCGCCGTGGACAGCGGCGGAGCACAGTACCTTCTGCGGAGGCGCATGTACTCCACGCGTGCTTAAGCACTGACCGTGGAAGCTGGGCTAGAGTCCAGGTTACTGGGTTGGGCGGGTTCTCAATTTGGGTTTTAAGCTTTGCTTTAGGCCTAAAAGATTGGGCTTAGGCTAATAGGTGGATGGGCCGATTTTAAGATTGGGTTTGGGCCTAGGTTATAGGGTAAATGGGCTGGTTATTAGGCTGGATTACATCTGATTGGGCTGATCTGGTTAGGGTTGCGGGCCGGGTTTGACTTGGTCCAGATCGTGAGGTGCTGGGCTTCACAAAGAAGAAAGTCGGAGTTTCCAAGCTCCGGTCATCTCCAACTCATCACTAAACCTAACGATGTTGGCCAGAAATGAAGCACAGGGAACAACGATTCGAAATATACCTATTGGAGGCCGTGACAGTGACCGAAGTTAGCTATAAAATAGTTTAATACCGTCTGTTTAAGCCGGAAACTGGGAAATTCTTCCCCGACATATTTCTGTCTTAAAACCCAACCAAAACACACAAGCATGCTCAAAATCAAGCCCTGAAGATGAATGTATAAAAGTTAGAATATTCCTAAAGTATACCTTGGCTGAGATCATCGAGAGCTTGGAGTTTGCCGGAGACGGCGAGGTGATTTTTGCTTCCTTGTGCAGCATGCACAATCATGGAAGAAGAGAGAAATAAGGTCAAGGAGAAACAAGGGTCAGGGGTGGTTGAGTTGATGGTAGTGGTGGATGGTATAGTGGTCGCTAGAGTTGCAAAGGTGGTTGGTAGAGTGCTCGGAGATAGGGGAAGTATGGAGAGAGAGAAAGGGGGGGAGTGTCCCGAGGAAAGAATTGGGAGAAGAGAAAGAAAAGGTTCAAGAGATTTGGGGAGAAAGCCACGTGGTAGGAGGAAAATATAGAGCGTAGTGTAGGTATGGATCCCACGGGCCATAATAATATCAAAATAATTAAAATATCCAACCCTAATATTTAGAATAGTGAAATGACTATTTTGCCGCTCGACTTCATTCGTTAATAACTTTTTCGTTATAACTTCAAATTACGTTCCGTCTACGCCTACGCGTCCGTAACGTTAAGTACTACAAGAATACTCCAAGAAATGGATCTTATGTGACACGACAATGCGGTCAACAAAAGTCAATGCATTTACCTCGAAGGGCATTTTCATAAATTCACGTATTAAAATTATAAAAATCGTAATAATTGGGGACAGATCGTTACAAGAAAGCTCCACTCCCAAAAGAAAAAGCACATCCAGATGTACTTTTCATATCAATTTCATCTCCACTCCAATCACTGTCATAATAACCTATTAAGATTGACTCATTACCTTTCTCGTATTCAATCCCATAGTCTAATGTGCCTTGTATATACCTGAGAACCCTTTTGGCTACTCCCAAGTGTTTCTTTGATGGTCCATGAATGAATCTAGCAAGTAAGCTAGCTGCAAACATGATAGCTAGTCTAGTGGCAATCAAATACAAGAGACTTCCAACCAGTTGTCTACACATGTTCTTATCTATTTTTCTCTCTCATCATCCTTCTTGAGCTTGTAACTAACCGCCAATAGAGAATTAACAGGCTTGTAATCCTTCAATCCAAACTTTTGCAACAAACTAACTGCATATTTTCTTTGGTTAATAAGGATCCCATTCTCAGATTGCAGGATTCCCATTCCAAGAAAATGATACAAGAGACCCAAGTGTCATTTCATACCTATTCATCATATCTTGTTTGAACTTTTCTAACAACTGTGTGCTATTACCATCATCTACATAGATAGAGATAATGATGCTTTCATTTTCTCCCTTTGATTTGATTTATAAAGTTGCCTCACTTAGACTTCTGGTAAAACCACACTTGTGTAAGTAAGTGTCAACTTCTTCATATCATGCTATTGGAGCTTGCTTCAACCCATACAAAGCCTTTTTAAGCTTGTATACTTTGTCTTCTGCACCCTGCACTACAAATCCCTCAGGTTGATTAGTGTAAACTTCTTCTTGCAATACACCATTAAGGAAAGATGATTTCACATCCAGCTGAAATAACTTCCATTTCTTTTTAGTTGCTAAAGCAATAAGAGTCCTGATGGTGTCTAATCTTGCAACAGGAGCAAAAGTTTCATTGAAGTCAATTCCAAGCTTTTGTGTATAGCCCTTGGCAACCAATCTTGCCTTGTGCTTTTGAATTGTCTCATCCAAATTCAGTTTGGTCTTGCAAATCCATTTCACTCCAACAATAGGCTTGCCTGATGGTCTGTCAACCAATTCCCAAGTTTTGTTCTTCTCTATCATGTCAATTTCAGCATCCATAGCTTTCTTCCAACCTATATCAATGGCAGTATCAATGAAACTTTTAGGTTCAATCATGCTGACATTACATCTAGTATATATCTCACTCAATGATCTTTCTCTACCTGGTGTGGTTTTGACTGAGCTTGTCTCACCACCATCAACTTGAGTATCAGAAATAACCTGAGTTAGACATTCACTCCATTATAGCTAAACATCATCTTTCTGTGACATT